GATCGATATTGTGTCGTGTATTATGAGCGGAATAATAAGGAATACGATGGAAATTTTTACGACACGTGTTCGAGTTGAAAAATGGATCCACGATGGATCGTCCGTTCCTTTTTTTAGATTAAGATCGTTAGAGTCGTAAGATCGATGCCAATTTTGGAATTTTCTAGGGAAACAGATTTCCAGAAAGGTCGTACGAAAGAGAAGATGAAAAGGATCGTTAACGATGATACTTAGGGGTGGTGGGATTCTAAAGGAAGAACACGATGCCCTTTTAATGGCATTTAGGTATTGTCCTTTTTAACTCGAATTAACGATCGAGAAGCTTTTACGAGAATTGGAGCATCACTGCCCTTTTCTAATTAACGGCAGACATATGCCGAGGCTTTTACAAATTTTTCCTATCGATTTTCTATTAATCAACTCGTGCCCCCCCTATGTTAACGTTGCCTGTACACAACTCGTTAACATCTCGTGAACCCCCGAAAATCGAAAATTGATCCAAATGATGGGGGGAAAAGAAAAAGCTTGTATGAAAAATATGATAACAAACTCTTATATCAACAGATCTATCAAACTATATAATCGTAAACGTCGCGTGTGAATTGTTTACGAACATATTCCAAACGAATTGAAAAATCTCGATCGAACGCTAGTGTACACGGCGTACGCTCTACAACCAATATGTCCGTAGCTAACCGTTTTGTTGGCACGAAGAAGGCGGTAACTTTGAAACGATATATGTATACGTACTATAATTCTTCCGTGTGCACGTGCGTCCAAAACGTGAATTTAACTCGAGGAGAAAAATTAGGAAAGAGAAGGATGGAAATTCGATATAGGTATAACGCGTTAAGGAAAATTGATCGCGAGGAGGAAGATCGAGGAAGAGTAAGAAAGAAAGGAAGAAAAAGTTAAAGTTGAAAAATCTCGCGGGCGGAAAGTTTTATTAGGCGGAAAATTTGACGACTTACCGCATATCTTGCGAGAGATCGGTTATATCGATGGTTACGATTACGTCGCGTATCACGAGAATCGGGCGTATCCTCTCGTCATATCCGCGTTGACGCACTCGCGATTCCTCAACACTTGTTCCACTCGAGTCCCTTTCTCTCCTCGCTTACTTCTTACTCTTTTCTCTCCTTATCCTCCCTCCCCTTTAACTTTCCTTTCTTACGGCGTTTTTTTTTTTCACACCAGAGGACGATACACCATTCCTCGACGAAGATATCACTTTCGCGATTCACCTTTGATTTTTCACGCTCGTCCCCTTCGCTTCAATCCCTAATCGTCGTTTCCATCGAAGCGGGAAAATGAAATTTTTCTCGAATCGGATTCGATCCGGTTAACGCGCTAGGATTCGTCACCGCACGAATAACAGCATCACCGTGGGAGATTACACTGGCGGAGAAGATCACTAGCAGAAGCCGCGCGGCACCAGTGACCGAGCATCCGCTACAGATTCCCACCACTCCTTCTTCTCGCCCTGTGTTTAAACTTATAAATAGATATCTGGGTGCGTTCGATTATATTTATATGTACGCGAATATATGCATGTACGTATGTGTATAATAAACCCGTACGTATACGATTCTACACCCTCACGCATCCACGAACGCAGAATCGTACGAGCGTGCACTTGTTCACGAGCTGCGCGTATTATTCATGATGCACCTAGTTACGCGCTCGTTCGTTCGCTCGTCTCTCTTTCTTCCTCTCTCTCGCCCGCTCACTCGCTTCTCTCTCTCTCTCTCTCTCTCTCTTCACCACCTTGTCCGCCTTCACCTCCACCTCTATCGTTGTTTCCACCGCCTCTTGCTTTATCCCCCTTCTCTACGCCATCCCAGCGAGCTTTCTTTAACCCTTGTCGTGGAACGTGTTCACGAGCCGAGCCACACACACCGATCGGATGAATCTTCCGTCTTTTTCCGAACAATTTTTACGATCAACGTACAATCGATCGAATCGTTCGAGGAAAATCACTACGATACGTACGATACCCCGATTCCGTTATTCTTTTTTATTCGTGTAATCACGGATGGACGACGATGATTTAGAAATAATAGATGTAAAAAAGGCGTCGTCTACATCGACGGCAAATCAATCGAGTACCTTACCTTCTCGCTGCGTGCCGCTCTTCTCTCATACTACGGTTATCGTCAGCTCGCACCCTCGCGAATCTTCTCGACGATTTCTCTTTTAAATGGATCGACGATTCTGATTGTTTCGTGTTGTCCCGTCAACGATATTTCGGATCACTCTTCTCTCTTCCGGGTTTCTCTTTTTTCCCTTTTCTTTTTCCTTCTCTCTCTCTCTCTCTCTCTCTCTCTCTCCTCCTCCTTCCTTCTCTCTCNCCACAC